ACTTTTTGGATGAAACAATAACTAATTTGTTTGTGGCATTAATTATAACATAATTTGATCCTCTAAAAAGATGGATTTTGATTTTCAGAACAGTTTTAAACAAAATTAAATGTATCTTGTCTGACATATTTAACAATTTGGATGAAACAATAACTAATTTGTTTGTGGCATTAATTATAACATAATTTGATCCTCTTGAAAGATTGATTTTGATTTTCAGAATAGTTTTAGACAAAATTTAATGTCTCTTGTCTGAAATATTTAACAATTTGGATGAAACAATAACTAATTTGTTTGTGGCATTAATTATAACATAATTTGATCCTCTTGAAAGATTGATTTTGATTTTCAGAATAGTTTTAAACAAAATTTAATGTCTCTTGTCTGAAATATTTAACAATTTGGATGAAACAATAACTAATTTGTTTGTGGCATTAATTATAACATAAATTGATCCTCTTGAAAGATTGTTGTTAACTCTTAGAATTGTTGCTCAGTGTTATTTCTACGTCAAGTTATGCCCCCTCGGTTCATACAGATATCAATAAGAAAGTAAGAGTGAATACAGCATGTTCATATATCACACAACTGTGCAACAAACAAAATATACCTGCAGCATTCTCAATGAATGATAGAATGCATGAAAACAGCATTTCACCAGGATGTAACAGCATTGCTTCACTGAACACACGGGAAACCATTGTCATTAGGCTGGGATCTCAATAAAGTGGGATTATATTCACAATAACTTCTCTATTATAAACAGGAGAAAATATGAAAGTTGGTGCTCATGAACCAGCTGAAACAGATTGGAAATAAATATGTTTACAATACAAGGACAATTGCTAATACATATACTACCAATATGCATGCATATCTAATTCTATAGGCTACAGCTAAGCAAATAAGTACATGCAAACTTTCAGAAGAAAATATCTTTTTACACAATAAACTCAAGCAGAGAGGGACTCCATATATTGGGATAGTTTAGACAGAAACATTTACCTTGAAATCTATTCAAGGATATCAAGATGAACCAACAAAGATGTATTTGTGCCAATTTCATTACTATGTTATTTGTTAGAGATACTATGTACCACAAGAATTTACCCGAAATTAAACCAATATACCCTACTTTCAAGATTTTGTAATATTCAAGTCTGTAACTTCAAAACTTCAGTGATAGACCAGTGTCGTTAGTACATCGTAGTTTTATCAGTGTATTTGTGTCTAAATTCAAAATCTTAAACCACTTGACACAAACACTGCCATCATGACTAAACTTAATATACGTCAAACTTGAAAAAACATAAAATTATAACAAATTTCATAATGCACACAAAATACAAAAATCCTACCATAAACCAAACAAAAACTCTTAATGCCCACTTACTCCGATCTGATAATTTACAGAGCATTTATCAAAATGTTAAGCCATTCAAAAATGCCCTCGAAAGTTGGTTTCTGGTCCAAGGGAGGTAACTCCCCTTCTCTGACGCCAAAACAACACAGCATTGAACATTTGGTATGGAAGTCAAAGCACTAAAGAGAAGTGGATGGATATATATTTTTCCTTTCAAAGGGCACACAAATAACATTTTGGGTTAAAATGAACAAGTTTCATACATGATGAAATGAGACGTGTTTACATAAATGTACATCATTCAAAACACTGGTTTGGTTTTGTAAAATACAAAATAAAATCAAGTATATATTTTGGACAGATAAAAAGAAACAAAGTACAATGAAAATACTAACTAATAATCATAGCCGGTTCACAACCATGCCTGTCGGCAAATGTGACTTCGATTCTAACAAGTGATGTGTGGTCAGTCAGTGTACATTATGAAATGGCCATGCAGCGTAAAATACAGAGTATGTGTATGAGAAAATTAAATGCGAAAGAATAATGTATATCAACAAACATTCAATTGAACACTTAACACACAAAAAGTCATTTACTGGCAAACAAAATAAACATATTGCAGAAAAGTGTCTCTATTCACACAAATATTTTGATTGTTAGTATAGATATATTGTTGCTTTTCAGCATTGTTTTTACCTTGTACTGACGCACTAAAACTAGCTTTTATCACTCAATGGCTCGTATTACTTCCCTGACCACTGACTACAGAAATGGATTTCAAAATGGTATGCAAGCACTAAAGTATGTCTGGTCATGACGGCTGTCTTTAATTTCCATATTCCTTTTGAGATTGCTCTGCTAAACAATGAAATAAAAATTTATTTGAGAACAGGTTAAAGTCCAAAACACTTACAGAAAAAGTCTATTTCCCTTCCTAGTGTGACCCATTACTTCAGTTTAAATTTGTTCGGATGAGTTGCAATTCTCCGACTAATTCAGAGCAGAAAATAACCTTCTCAGTCGAAATCAAATTTTAAAGTATTTACCAACCCCAAACTTTACAATAGTTTGTCAATATTCATAGCGACCTATATTCAAAAGTAATTTTACTCAGTACTACCGCATTATTCATAATTGTCCTAAACAGCTGTGAAAATAAGGTTGACAAAACAAAGAACAAAGAGAAAATACTTCAAAACATATCTTAATTACTAAGGTCTTAAATGCTGCAACTAAAATCATGAAATTCTTATGTTTTTGATGCCAGCATCAAATATACCTAGCATCTTTAAGTTCAAATAAACCTAGCATCTTTAAGTTCAAATATACCCAGCATCTTTAAGTTCAAATAAACCTAGCATCTTTAAGTTCAAATATACCTAGCATCTTTAAGTTCAAAGAAACCTAGCATCTTTAAGTTCAAATAAACCCAGCATCTTTAAGTTCAAATATACCCAGCATCTTTAAGTTCAAATATACCCAGCATCTTTAAGTTCAAATAAACCTAGCATCTTTTAAGTTCAAAGAAACCCAGCATCTTTAAGTTCAAATATACCCAGCATCTTTAAGTTCAAATATACCCAGCATCTTTAAGTTCAAATATACCCAGCATCTTTAAGTTCAAATATACCCAGCATCTTTAAGTTCAAATAATACCCAGCATCTTTAACTTCAAGTAAACCTAGCATCTTTAAGTTCAAAATATCTTTAAGTTCAAGTAAACCTAGCATCTGTAACTTCAAATATACCCAGCATCTTTAAGTTCAAATATACCCAGCATCTTTAAGTTCAAATATACCCAGCATCTTTCTTTTACCCAGGACCTTTAAGTTCAAATAAACCCAGCATCTTTTAAGTTCAAATAAACCCAGCATCTTTAAGTTCAAATATACCCAGCATCTTTAAGTTCAAATATACCCAGCATCTTTAAGTTCAAATACACCCAGCATCTTTAAGTTCAAATATACCCAGCATCTTTAAGTTCAAATAAACCTAGCATCTTTAAGTTCAAATATACCCAGCATCTTTAACTTCAAGTAAACCTAGCATCTTTAAGTTCAAATATACCCAGTATCTTTAAGTTCAAGTAAACCTAGCATCTGTAACTTCAAATATACCCAGCATCTTTAAGTTCAAATATACCCAGCATCTTTAACTTCAAATATACCCAGCATCTTTAACTTCAAATATACCCAGCATCTTTAACTTCAAATATACCCAGCATCTTTAAGTTCAAGTAAACCTAGCATCTTTAACTTCAAATATACCCAGCATCTGTAACTTCAAATATACCCAGCATCTTTAAGTTCAAGTAAACCTAGCATCTTTAACTTCAAATATACCCAGCATCTTTAAGTTCAAGTAAACCTAGCATCTTTAAGTTCAAATATACCCAGCATCTTTAACTTCAAATATACCCAGCATCTTTAACTTCAAATATACCCAGCATCTTTAACTTCAAATATACCCAGCATCTTCAAAAATGAGAGAGCAAGTCAACCTGTTGATGTCTGAGGCAGAATTAAGGTCCCACTATCAATACCAACTTCAAAATATACAGTTAAATGTTTATATTATTATAAGAAGACACCTCATCTCATATATCATGTCAATGCTCCAAACAATTTAATAAAATCTGCAAAATCAATTATGAAAAAATGAACACTTGTGATAACAACAAGACTTGCCTAGATTCCATCACTGTCAGCTGCAAATGACCCGATCAGTCTTTCAGACAGCAGGATGAAGGTTAAAACTAAATCATTTGGCACATAAACCTCATAAGCAGAATTAAAATATGCATATTTGATAGGACATTTTCCTACACCAATCTACACAGCCTTAAGCAGCCTCAGAAAAACACATGTGAATAAATCGTTTGTCAAGATGGCTTCTCACATTCCAGTCCTCTTTCTGCGACTTGAGACAATTTGTTCATTCCTGTCCCTACATATAACATACATCCACTATACATGGCTCCATCTTTACATTCAAGTGGCATCTACTCTGACTAAATACAGAAATAGATTGTTATTCTGAGAGGCTCATTTTGGGTGTATTTGGTGCTGTCTCTTCAACCTCCTATTTCCATTGCCAGAGTTCACGATATCTGTAGACCTAATACTTCTCAAATATTCAAACAAAACCATGACCAGTTGGTGATAAAAGTAACATGATGCTTTGCTGAATCATCAACATAAAATCTAGCACTATGTGAAGACGGTTTGTTACCATGACAACAGATGCATGACAAATGTTCACGTTTAATACAGCGTATGATAATTCACACCTCCATATTGTACATCAAAGGACCTATACTTGATACTGACAAGCTATTGAGTAGGACTAACAGGGACATGGTTAGTCATCTACTTAGGATCAAGCCTTCCAGTCTAGACTGTCTCAGTTCACTATCAACACCATTTCCCTAGGATGTTGGTCTACAATCTTCTATAGGGATGCTAGAGGAAGCTGGTGCATTACTAGAGGATGTCAGTACACCACCAGCGGATGTCAGTACACCACCAGCGGATGTCAGTACACCACCAGAGGATGTCAGTACACCACCAGCGGATGTCAGTACACCACCAGAGGATGTCAAGACAGCGAGGATGTCAGTACACCACCAGAGGATTCATGTGCACCACTAACTAAACAACACCGGTTTCCTTAACAAGAGTTCCCATAATGGCTAACAGGGGTATGAGTCTGTCTTAGCATGTTCAGCATCTGACCTTGACCCAAGCTCCCATCCATCGAGTGTCCATGCATCATGTGCTGGCGGTCCTGCAGACCAGCAAGTCCAATGTTCTGACCAGGCATGTGCAGACCTTGACCAATGGTCTGTAGAGCAATCGCTGGCGCAATGATGGTTGCCGGGAAGAGCACACTAACGGAATCTTGATGGCGTTGTTCATCATCTGGGCCTGACTGCAGTTGGGCACATTGATGCTCTGTGACAGGCGAACAGCTTGTTCAGCTGTGATGATGGGTGCCTGGGCAAGGGCAGGACTGCTGCAGGCAGCAGCAAGCTCTGCATGGGATGGGGCTTCACCGTTGTTGCCGTTGTTGTGATTATGATTCTGGTTGTTGGATGACATGGAAGCTTGACTGAGGCTCATATCGGGGGAGTGAGAGAACTGCTGAGCACTAGAGACTTGAGGGTAAGACTGAGAAGGTTGTTGCTGTTGCTGTTGCTGTTGTTGTTGTTGTTGCTGTTGTTGTTGCTGTTGCTGTTGCTGTTGCTGTTGTTGTTGCAGTTGTTGTTGGCTGACATCACCATTGGAGGACTGGCTGGAGATACTGGAGTTGGAGCTAGTTTGTCCCTCACCACCTGATGATGACCGTTTCATTGTCTGACCCACCATCTCATTCATATTGAATGCACTGTTCATCAGCACATCACGGACTTCCTTCTCATGGCTTCTCATGTGGTGTTGGAGGCGATCCTTACGAGAATATTCTTTCTCACAAAGGTCACATTTGAAAGGCCTTTCACCAGTGTGCATACGATAATGCCGACGCAAATGCTCCGGACGGCTAAAAAACTTGCCGCACATGTCACATCCGCACATGACTGACTTGTCTGCCAAGTGCGTCATCACATGTCTCTTCAGGTGTTCCTTGCGAATGAATTTCATTCCACAGATATCACACTTATGAGGCCGTTCCCCTGTGTGGATAATCCTGTGTCGCTGAAGATGATTCTGGGACATGAATTCCTTCCCACAAATGTCACAAACAGCCGGATCTCCATGACTCTTCATGTGCCCCATTAAATGAGCTTTGGCAGAAAAGATTTTCTCACATACTTCACACTTGAAACGGAATCTGACCTTCAACAAGCTGAGCAGCACTTTTGCTCTCTCCGGTGTGTTTCTTCATGTGGGCCTGAAGATGGCCCCAGACGTCGTACGACTTCTTGCATTCTGTGCATTTAAACTGCTTCTCGGTCTTGATCTTCGTTGTGTTTATGTTTGTATTTAGCATGTGCGTTTTGATATGGTTCTGCAAGTTCATCATCACCTTAAATGTCTCCCCACAGAAATTACATTTGTAGGGACACTCCTTGTCTGGCGTGTACATCATGTAGAGGGCAGCACGGTCATTCACATGACTCTTCATGTGGTCCTGAAACAACTCTCGAGCAGAAAACGTTCTCGCACAAAGATTACAGTCAAAAGAAATGTCCATTGGATCAGTGCCTATGTTCATACAAGTACCTTCTTTCCTTCCATCCAGGTTGTGATTGTGCTGTTTCCCGTGCTCCTGCAACTGTTCTCGTGTTTTGAATGTTTTTGTACACACATTACACATGAAAATTGACAACTTTTGCAAAATGTTTTCACCGTTAGAAAGGTTAGCTTGGTTAATATTCATCTTTGGTTCATTCTGAGACTTCTGAACATTGTCCCTGAGCTCTAGGTTTTGCATTTCAGGGTTTTGATTGGGATTCTGATTCTGATTCTGAATATTGACATGATTCTGCAGGTTTACATGCCCTTTGTCCTTGTTGACATTCGTATGACTGCGAATATGAGCTTGCAGGTGACCCCACACTTTGAATTTCTTCTCACAGAGATTACAACCGAAAGTTGTCTCCCCTTCCTCGTTGAACACTTGGGTCATGTGACCAGTCGTAGCCGTACTTTCACCAGCGTGAGTTCGTAAGTGTATTTCGAGTTCAGTCCACACTGTGAACGACTTGGCACACAAGTTACAACGAAACACCTTTCCATCCGGAGTATGCAAGACACTGATCAGCGAGTTCTCACCAATGTGGTTTCTGATCTGAGTTTCCAGGTTAGGATTGACCTGATTTTCCGCTAAATGAGCAAGAGCACTATTGGGATTCCTCATCATGTTCATATAGGCGTAGTTGAGTGCAGGCACACCCATACACATCATGCAGTTGCTACCCAGCAGTTTCCTGGTGCAGCTGCTAAAAGCGAACTGGGACCCGAAGCCATTCTGACAGTTTCAGAGATGAGGCTGGTAGGACCAGATCACATCTTCGGCTAAAGTCAAACTGGTGAGTTCCTATTTCCTGAAAAGATAAAGCACAAAGTCAAAGTCAGTTGTAAGTTTTAACAAGTCTGGGCTAGTACAAGCAGCAGGTACACACGCAGCCATATGAGCGAAATATTCTCAAGCCCAACGTTAAACCCAATTCCACCACCACCACAATCACTTTTCTCTCTCAAAGGGCTAAGCCTTTAATGTGAGTGTGGACCCATGAAGATCTGGATTGGAAATGATCTTCAGGAACCCATGCTTGTCGTAAGAGGCAAATAACGGGATCGGATGGTCAGACTCGCTGACTGGGTTGACACATGTCATTGTATCCCAATTGCGTAGATCGATGTTCATGCTGTTGATCCCTGGATTGTCTGGTCCTGACTCAATTATTTACAGAACACCGCCACATAGCTGGAATATTGCTGAGCGCGGCGTAAAACTAAACAAACTCACTCACTTATGTGAGTATCGGTTTCAGCAGTATTACAGCTATACAGGAAGTCTGAAGTGATGCAGCCTTTACAGTATTAATCACAAATTTACCATTTGTCACAGACGAGGTGCTGAGTGTGAGTGGAGTGAGTATAGTTTTATGCCGCTTTTTGCAATATTCCAGCAATATCAAGGCAGGGGACACCAGAAATGGGCTTCACACATTGTACCCATGTGGTCTACCCGGGTCTACGGCATGACAAGCAAACGCTTTAACCACTAGGCTACCCCACCGCCCCTGTGGTGCTGACAGGGACCAAAGGGACACAACTCTATGCAACGAATTGCAGTGCTCCAGACTGCCGCGTTCCCTGTATCCAGGGTGTTCTCCAATCTGCCTATGTTGCTAAGCAACAAAGTTAAGGTTAAGGTATATTTCTGACATGTGGAAAAGACCTACTTTATGAGAGTGTCATGTCACACAGGTATTGCTATGGCAGGCTATTGACATTAATCATGAAGATTGATAATCGTTAACGAAATATCAACAAATATTCGATAAAAACCAAAAGTAACTGAACAAAAATGAAAAAAAAGTCTTAAAGAAATGAATATATTTCACACCAATGGTGAGAGGTGACATGTTTATGCATGGATAACCAACAAAACAGCATCCTGAGCAAGTGAGTGAGTGGAGTGAGTGAGTGAGTGAGTGAGTGAGGAGGAGTGAGTGAGGAGTGAGTGAGTGAGTGAGTGAGTGAGTGAGTGAGGAGTGAGTGAGTGAGTGAGTGAGGAGGAGGAGTGAGTGGAGGAGTGAGTGAGTGGTGAGTGAGGAGGTGAGTGAGTGACTAAGTGAGTGAAAGTGAGCATCCTGTAGCTTTTAGCAATATTCCAGCAATATCACGGCTGGGGACACCAGAAATGGGCTTCACACATTGTACCCATAAAAATAACCACTAGGCTACCCCACCGCCCCGAGCAAAATTTAGAAGCAACCCATGAATAAAAATCTGACTTTGTGTATTATTCTATCACAAAAATTGTATGCATGATAATATCGATGACACTATTTTCATATCGACAATCATTAATATTCTTTTCTATAGACGATATTTCTGATCATCAATCTTTTTAGCCAGCCCTAAAAATTGAATGAACATACATTATAATATCTGCTTCTATGCACAAGGAGTCAACAAGCTGAAGATTATTTTGTTTACTGCGTTACACTGCATCTAGGAACGTTCCAGCTACATCAGAGTCAGCAGGTTACCAGAGCTACAGATAACTTTTTTGGTCATTGAGTTATGTACTCCCTTGTCTTCCTCTCAATTGGGTATCCTAATTTTCCTTTGAGTAACGAAATAAATTGTACTCACCTCACTCAAACTCAATTGGGTATTTTGCCATTTTCCATTAATTTTAAAAATATAATAAAGTTTAAATGTTAGTGTTTGTGATTTACATTTGATCTGTAATATGGGAAACGATAAGAAAGACTGCAAGTTGTCAAGTTCATGTCCTGAAATGGAACCTCTCAACATACCTCAGTTATTTTATCTATCCACCGGTACGCAAGCTACGATTTGACATTTTTGTGTGTACGCATGTAAGATCACATTTATTGAGGATTAACAAAACTTCAAGCATACTTGTACACAATAGACTTAATAGGAATTGAGTTTTCACATAAATATTTGCGTAATTTACGCAGATACGCAGCTTATCTGTACCTCTGCCTAAAAATTGAATGAACATACATTATAATATTCTGCTTCTATGCACAAGGAGTCAACAAGCTGAAGATTATTTTGTTTACTGCGTTACACTGCATCTAGGAATGTTCCAGCTACATCAGAGACAGCAGCCAACATACATGAAATAATCCCATCTGGATGAGACTACCCAGAGAGTGATGATGACATTATCAACCAGGTCATGATGCCATCCGAATACATGAATCACCTGCCATGAACAGCAGAATGTGCTGGAAACCTGGGGCCGTATTTATAAAAATTCTAAGAATTAAAAGTTACTCCTAAGTGTAGAAGATACTGAGAATTTTGTGAGAGTTACTCTTAAGTTTCCGAATTTTCTTAAGAGTTACTCTTAGGAGTACTCTTAGAGTGAGCAAATGTTAGGAATCCTCACAGAGCCCAGCCCCCAACAGTTATAACAGGTATGATACTTGTTTTGTTTATGAATAAACAATAGATAAGTGTGCTCAAAACAACCATTATAACGAACTTGCATACAAAAAACTGTCAATCTGCAACAATGTTTATTTCCTGCAAGTTCTACCCTGCATAATGAAGGGACACCTCAGTGACAAAGACCTTTCCAGGAAAATAACATTGTTGCGGATTGACGTGCTTCAGCTTCAGAAAGAATTATTAATGCTTAAATTGGAAAAGATGAAGACAGATCAATCTGCTCTAACTTGGAATCCCAAGGGAACGGGCTGAAGACACAGCTTCATTAACTCACTCTAATCAAAATGACAGGCTACCGTTTGGTTCCTTGAGTTTCATAGCCCTGAAATTGTGTATCTTGAACCTACTACATCTACCACCAAGCCATGTGTCATAACGGAGTGCAGGGTTAACTCATGCGTTAACATTACCACTTACCATGCTTACCAGACATGTTCAATTGGTTTTAGATTTTCTTAGGTGCAAATTGCTGCTTGGTAGATTGGAAGAAAAAGGATGTATTTGAGACTTTCCTTTTGATCTATAAGAGGCTATGTGAACTTTGGGGTGTATAAGAAAGATCAAGGAGCCAGACTTGTTACTCCTCGATTTATTCTCCACTTAAATGTTTGCCAAATAATTCTGTAGTGAAAAAGGAAGATTTCAGCAGCAAAATAAGATATGTTTTCAAACTAATTTATTAACCTTGCATATTTGGTCAGGACATCAGATTCATAAACAAATTTAAGAAATGTAACGGATTCTAGTGCTGGGAATTGGTAAAATTCTCATAATTGATAATTGGTTCATTACAACCGATCAATCATCGAAAATAATTGGTTAAGCGTCATTTATGAAATTTTCCTGATTATTTTTGTTAATGGACAAAAAAATAAAGAAAAAACCATGTAGTTCTTTGGTGTTTTTGCAAATTGCACAAAATGCATTTGCAAATTTCACATCTTTAAAGGATGACTAGTAGGTTAGGAACATTAATTTCTTGGAGTCTTTATGATAAATTCAATCATGACTTGGAACGAGCTTGTAGTGGTCATGAAATGTAACAGACAAAACCAACCTTGTGAAAAATATTGTTAATGCAAACAAGTGTTCCAGAATTGTTTGTGTTCGATTATGAGAAAACATGATCGACTGCTTGGTCGTTTAGTGACTGCGACCAATCTTCGATTATTTCAATTGATCAGACCACCACTAACGGATTCCACCCACACACCCAATATAGTCTCTATAGACATGTCAATGATGTCAAATTGCACACTGTAACACAAACAGTCAATATCCCGGTGTCAGGGGTTTTCGACGATGTAAGACAAAAACATATTTTTTATCTGTAATACCCTTTAAAGCTTTTATTTTACTAACCTTGAGTGATAAAGGACATGTTCATCTATTTCACACAAAAATATCAAGTGTTCCCTACAAATATAGTGTTGATGGCATCGTATCGGCGAAACTGTTGCCGCTCGTAACATGCGGGTATTTTGTATGGGTTTTCGACGATGAGCCATACTTTTTGCTCCGCACTGCGAGGGAGTGTTGTGATCACGTGGCTTCCTATTTATATATTGCCTGTCACCAGCAGACGACTGATCTAACTGAATTTTCGCTTTCTATTTTTTGTTATAAAGGCAACTGATTTTGCATCTGAAGTGGTATTAACGATCTCGGGTAAATAATATTGATGTTTGTTTGCTTTGTATATAACTTTACTTCCCGATTGCCATTGTCAATAAAACTTCTCATGACAGCGACTGGGCACCCGCCCTACCAGTGAAACTGTTTGTGCACTCCGATCGCACACGTACTCCCCCGATATAGCGCATGCAATGCAATCATCGAAATCACCAGAACGTCGAATTCAGCTCATTTTGGGATATCTTCAAGAGTCTGTTCATAACAGTGGCTAGATATCTTACTTTCTCAAAGGAAAGAAATCAGCACTTGATTTAGCTGTGAGTTGGAATTAACACAAGTTACAACAGTATTTAAGTTATTTATCAGCGTGTCAGTATGATGTGGGAAGGACGCCAGAGATGCTGGAGATACACTGTTGGTGAAACTGACAAGCACAGGTATGGCTCTGACAATCTTAGAAACTCAGATATTTACTGACACAAAATGAAACATCAAAAGTATCGGAATATGTATCAGTACAATACTCAAGTATCTCAACATATTTCAACACTAGACTGAAGTATCGTCATATGCACTGATACAATACAAAACAATCTGGAGTGTGGCAGTATGTATCACTACAGGCCTAATGTATCACAATATCTATTCCCACAAAACAAAGAATAACAATCGCACAATAAATACCCAAGGTAGTCTTACTGTGGCACTACTTCCCAGCGATATGCAGCATGTAAGGCCAATTGGCAACCACTTCTGACGTAGGGACACCATTAAAACTGAAGATGGATTTGACACCTGAGCACAGAACTATAATTTCTCGGGGTTCAAAAATACCATTAAGCATGGTTCTAGTATCTATGAGGTTTGCTCCAAGCAGGGCTGGCTAAAAAGATTGATAAATGAAAATATCATACATAGGAATCATTATTAATGATTTTCGATATAAAAATGGTGTAATCGATAATATCGAACATGAACTATTTTGATGAAATAATTTTAGATTTACTCAGAACCTTCACAAAGTTAGGTCTCCTAAAGCATGTTCAGGTGGCATTTTGATGCTAATCCAAACCTAAATATGCTACCACTCACCACTGATGTGAAATGTGTTGATTTATTTCCGTTTTTTTAGTCATTTTTGCTCAGTTACTTCTCCGATATTTATCGATAATCGATCAATATTCATTTAAAGTGTTAAAGTGTTCGCTTGTCACGCTGAAGACCCGGGTTCGAATCCCTACATGGTTACAATGTGTGAACCCCATTTCTTGTGTCCCCCGCTGTGATATTGCTGGAATATTGCCAAAAGTGGCGTAAAACCATACTCACTTACTACTCACGAACTGTGTGACACTACACTGAGGAGTGAACTTCACTTTTCAACCAGTGCCACAAACTCATCAACAATCCTTGGAAAGTAAAGAGGGTTTGCAAGCTAATACTAAAGGTAAGTAAATCCTTACTTTTCAAATACAAATAACTGCCTCAAACATAACATTGCTATGACATATGTCATGTTCCCGCAGCAAGGAGTTACCCGACTACAGAAGTCCAGTTTCCATGCTTCCAACCTCAACTGGAATTTTGGGGCATGATTGCAATGCAACCAATGGCTGTTACAGTTACATTCATGGTCCTTCTCTCTCCCTCCTACTGACCAATCACATACTATACTTCCTGTCACTTGCATTCACGTCAGGCAAAATGGCAATGCCATGCATGCAAGGATAATCATGATAATTTGATCATATTTGTCAAAGAAACATTTCGGAGTCCTTGCCTCACAGACACTCAGTGTGTGTGGATTGCAGCAAAACATTTGAGCATGAAGAGATTTGTAAAATATTTGTCAAAGCCCAATTGATGGTACAAATGCTTTCTAAATCTACATAGAACAAAAAGTGCATGGCAGTCAGCCAGTCACCACATTTATGAAAAGGATGCTGTTTTTCAGGAGTATGCATAGACTTGTTAGTCAAGCAAAAACCTAACTCTAGCCTAGTTTGATAAGGGTTGAAACTGGACTTTTATAGCCAGGTATTTCCTGATCATCTTAAATTTGTGTTTCACCAGTGGATTGAATTAAATATGCAGGGTTAAAATTTATGGATGTCAACTTCACGTCCCTCATATTACAGAAGTTGACATCCATAAATATTCATCCTTTATGTTATCACGTCTAAATGCCATTCTACAATTCTACAAATTAAATGAGGACGTGTGTGTGAGAGGTGTAGGGGTGGGAGTGCTGTTTACAAACACTAGAAAGTCTGAGCTTTAGCTGAATACATTATTACCACCAGTGCCATCAGTAATTATGACTAAAGATCATTTCAATCTGCTTAAGGCACAAATATAAACCATTATTTATATTGTTCTCATTGTAGTAGTAGTAGTAGTAGTAGTAGTAGTAGTAGTAGTAGTAGTAGTAGTAGACATTTTCTGCATCTTTAGCCCATAATTAAGGTCATGGGTTCGATTTCCAAACGGAACTCAACCCAACAAAAGTACTAGAATCAGTACTTTACTGAGAAAATGTAATCCTAAATATAGGATGTGTTACATGGATGCTTACATCACTACACAAAACTGGGAAATCTTGTCTGATACCAGGTCATAGATACAAGACAACTGATCATTTAACAGAAAACACACTGAAAACTGAACATTTGTAATATTGTCTATCACTAGCTCTAATCTGTATTAGTCTGTAATGTCAAAAAAATTCATGTCCAAGATACCCAAACTGTACTCAGCATATACAGGACCACTAAGAATCTAGTAATCATAGTTCACATTGCCTTGTAATCATTATAATTCTGAACCTGGAACTGAATAAAACTGACAAAAAGAATAAATATAGTAAATCTAAAAGATGTTTGTCTTGTTCAAGCAGCATTAACAAAGTCTGAGGACTATAAAATTAAGGTTTACACTAGTTCTCAAAAAAAATTTATGAGTCCTCATGTACACAGAGCTCATTCACAAAGTTTTTTAGACAATAACTCTACATATGCCGGTCTAATACCAGACAAATAACCAAATAGGGCAGACAGTGGTAGTATTATTGTAATGGCAATGGAGTAATTCTGGATAAAACAAAGCATAAACAATTCAGTGTGTAACATATCTAACTTGCAAAGACTTTAACGTACATAGACACATGGGAATTCAAGGAAAGCACTGAAACATGTAATAATATCACATTCATTTCTGATGAGAAGTGGATTAATTTCAGGAAAACTTATGAAATGGTTATGTGTACACTTTAACATTAGAAACTCGACAAAAATCTAGGCGCGGATTTCACTCAGTCTCAGTTCTGTTACACGCAATACACATCACAGAGTAATTCCGAGATGATAGGAATATCATACCTGGACTCTTCTTTTGAGAAAAGTTGGTATTTATGAACCGAATTGACCCGAGCATGGAAACTTTTGTCTCAATTCAGATTTTCGACACACTTGTGACCCCCAACTGAGAAAAGAATTTTCGTCTATTTTCCTCAAATTTGCGACGCTATACACCTTCGATGTTTAGATAATTGATTACAACATCGGCTTACGGAACTCCTTAAACAAAATATCGACACATGTAGATATTATTGCGAGTTGATTTTGAACACAGGGAAGAAATTACCTCTTCAGACAACTTCTTCCGCCATCAAAGTTCAAGGACGATAACTCAAGATAAGATAACTCTTGTTTGGCGCGGGACGTCAGCTGAAACGGATCGTTGCTCATAAATGAAGGTTCCAAGTTCGAATTGTCTCATGCCAAACTATTTTCAAAATGCAGTGAAAATGTAATTTAATATACATTTTTTTATATTCCGTTGTAAAAGTGAAAAATAATAATTCATGATTTCGCACTTACCTTATAACAGAAATGTCATATGTCGATTTTGATGTAAAACATTGACGATACACCTTTAAAATTTCGAAATTTAAAATACTGACTTGTTCTGTGATAAATAGACATGAATGTCGAAAAGCCTCGCGACAGAGACCCCAAGTAATTTCATGATCTCTAACTCCTCCATTTCCATTGTGATATTTCTTAATTGATGACATACCTGTTCTCCCTTTCAATATGTTGTTAAACATTAAGCAGTCAGATACGGTCTCCACGGCGAATTACTAGAGCAGAACCGACACAATAGACACGTGTTTGCACAGATTAATTGTCGTAACAATCATTTAACAAACCTTTTGTTTATTCACACACGCGCTTCGGCTAACAATCGAATCCCTGTTTCGGATATTTACTAAAGTCAAACTTGTGATTTTATACAAATTGAATGTGATTATTAACCCAATTCAATTCAATGCTTTATCTACCTTTAGCTGTACGGCTAATCGGTGGTGAACATGAAAATTTACATTTTGAATATAGACAGGGTGGTTGATTTGGTATAATATTGAGAACATACAAACACATTTTGCAATAAATTTAGTCTTAACTTTGAAGCCTTGAATAGAAATTTACCAAGATTACAGAGTTGTTTAACATTCTGGATACTTAAGAAGTGGAACGGTTTGTAAATTGATGGATTTTTTCAAAAGTAAGGTTTAATGTACAATTTCCTTAAATCATTATAAACAGGACATTTTAAAACAAAATGGAATTCATCCTCTATATCACTGGAACAGGACAGACATCTTCTATTGTTTGTATCAATATTATTACACCTCAATGTTACAATGTATAAGTTATGTGAAAAGCGTCGAAATTTAGCCAAATAATTTTGTATATATTGCAGGAATTGATTTTTGTAGATAATTTTGCAAAGTGAAAGTAGCAATAACATCTTTATACAGTCTGCACTTAGAATAACTGGATAACTGACTTTCAATAGACTGAAAAGCATTATCAATAAGTCTTTGTTTAATGACAGGCAGATAAGAGACATTCACTTCTTGCCTATACCATATACCACCAAAACCAAGAGTTGTCAATATATTCTTAACCTGAAAGGCCCAACAAAATATTTGCGTAAACCATCATAAACCACACAGACTCTCTATACAGCTGGGATCGCCCAACAACATGGTGTTGTAGCACCTCAGACACATACGGTTTAAACATATTTATTTGTAAAACAAATATTCCGTTGTATGCTTAATAGCTTATCGTTCATCTGAATAAGGCATATGTGCAAATAAGATACATTAGCCGGGTAACTGGAGAGAGTTTACTGCAACCTTATGTCCCAACAGGGACCCGAAGTAAGCCGGGTAATAAATATGGGACATCAGAAAAACATTTCATTTAATAACCGTCAATATTTTAATCACTTCTGAGCTGCTATTTTTGTGCACTTAACATGTAACTTTATAAAATCGTCAATTTAATTCCAGAATCTTTTTAAAAGTATCTAACATCACCTAACAAAATGAGTCAGCGTGAATATATCTAAAAATATAATCATGACCAGATCAAGACAAGTTCGACACTTTCTCAAAATTGTGAAGCTTGTAACCTGGAGTGGCCTGACAATCACGTCTCATGTGAATGTGAATACACATAGGCGGATCCAGAGGGGGGATGCACCCACCCATCCACCCACCCACACGCACGCACGCACGCACGCACACACACCTATTTATTTATTTTTAAAATTGTCCTGAAGGTTTATTAAATGACCATTGAAACTCTCGTGAAAACGGATGAAAATGAACTGTGTGCACACACACAACGCAATGTAACTGACTAACACACACACACACACACACACACACACACAGTAAAACACACACATATAACAAAACACACTGAGACACATTTTCCCTGAAGCTGACAATCTAACCTTGCCTGAATCTGAGGAAATCTAGCTGTATCCGAGTTGTGTGGGCTTTCTGATATATTTGCTTTAGGGTCACTATATCCGACCCTGATACACACGTAAACGCATACTTCACGTACAGTGGCCATTCATCCCTGAATATACTGGACGTCGCTCTGGGGCTCCGTGTACTGCCGTTTTCATACATCATCTCTATCAATCTTCGGGCTAGGAAAACACGTGCACTGTTGGTAGGTAGCTTTTATTATTCTTATGAAGAGTTGTTTCCCTTAGACCTGCCCCGAATACTCGATCTGAAACCCATTTGAATCACTAGTCTGTCTCACATAAAGCATGAAGGTTGAACACATTGTGAGCGTTTGGATAGCATGGTGGTTACACACTAGCTCGTCATGTCTGGGGCAAGTTTTCGGTTCCCGAGGGACCCGTGAAGACCTGGGTTAGAACTGATCTTCGGCAGCCCAATCGTAGGAGGCTCAGGCTCGCTAACTTGTTAATACATGTCATGTGACTCTCAGTTGTGTAGATCGACGCTCATTATATCAATCACATGGTTGTCTGTTCCAGAGTCAAATATTTACAGGGCGCTGTCATATAGCTGGAAAATTGCTGAGTGCGACATTAAACAACAACACAAACAGTTCCCAATGTGTATTTAATATGACAAGTCTTTTCTTGATGTCTCTTCCGAGGGTATTGATATTATTGTTACAAACAGCTTAAAACACAACCCAACAACTGTAGAACATAAAATGGGGTGTTTTATTGCAAGAAGCTATGTACAATATTTACATAAACTTTCTTACCATAAATCTCTGAAACAGATTTACAAAACAACCCTCTGGTATTCAACCACATGAATGTCTATGTCGAGTGATTAGGTCCATTCAGTCGACAGTACAACCAATGAAGATCCGGGTTAGAAATGATCTTCAGTGACCCATGCTTGTCGTAAGAGGCGACTAATGGTATCGGGTGGTCAGGCTCGCTAACTTGGTTGACACATGTCATCGTATCCAAATTGTGTAGATCATACTCAATGCTGTTGATCACTGGATTGTTTGGTCCAGACACGATTATTTATAGACCGCATAAAGATAGTCTATACCCATCTTCGTCTTTGCATCCTATGTCCTATGTGACACAGTACTTGCGACCAGCCGGAGAATATTCTACAAGCAGTGTTCTGTACAAAGTTGTCAGTAGGTACGGTATCTCAGACATTTATCAAACTTTAATCAGAGAGATGTGTAAATATGTTACAAAGATATATGGAAGTTCGTCATATATACAAATAAAGAATGGATGGTGAATAACGGTTTTTCCAGGTGTCCATCTCACACAGTTGCTGAAACTGTCGTATAGGGCAGTGCTCTCTACAAGATGGCCGTCAGTCAGTTTTACATATGTATGTGGGTATTATAGAAAGCACACCATGTAAATACTCAGGCAATACTGATTTGTACTAGGACATCGAACACGTAATATAGGCATTATAGAAGAGCATTAATAGTCGTCTCCAGCGTTGTTTTTCAAAGGGCCTACTGTTTTACGACACTTTAATGAATATACTGAAAGCATGGAGGAAATGGTAGTATTTAGCCAGCATCTGTTGTCTGTGCTCAAATCACGCTCCAGCACATTTGGGGATCGGTATCGTTAAACAATTCCACGACCATGCCCTATGTATTCAAGATCGATCTCCTTTTAAGATTCACTTAAAGCAGGGATAATCAACAACGTTATATAGTCTCCCTGCTTAAAGACACGTCTTCAGACTGGCGTACACGTCTTCAAACTGGCGTACATTAGTACCACATGTCAGAAATGCTCTTTTCTGAACGCCTATGAGCAGTTCTCATAAACTGACGATAGACTCTCTACAAATGACTGTTACAATTTTAAATATATAGTTATTACAACGTCCTTTTGAATTTGCTAATCCATCTAACGGAAAGCAGGACAGTTTGGATTAACAAGGTTTCTTTTTAGTATACGACAATATCCGTTAATCCATCTAACGGAAAACAGGAAAGTTTGGATTAACAAGGTTTCTTTTAGTATACGACAATATCCGTTAATCCATCTAACGGAAAACGGGACAGTTTGGTTTAACAAGGTTTGGTTTAAAATACGACAATATCCGTTAATCCATCTAACGGAAAACGGGACAGTTTGGTTTAACAAGGTTTCTTTTAGTATACGACAATATCCGTTAATCCATCTAACGGAAAACAGGACAGTTTGGATTAACAAGGTTTCTTTTAGTATACGACAATATCCGTTAATCCATCTAACGGAAAACAGGACAGTTTGGTTTAACAAGGTTTGGTTCAGTTTGCGACAATGTACATCAATGCCTTGGTCATGATATAGTAGCATAGTCGTGGATGGGTGAACAATGTGCATATCGTGGCTGTGACGTGTCGACGTCGGAGGTGAGGGCGTCGTAGTTAAACACACAGGGTATCTGGTTGTTATATATGGGCGGGTCCTTCTCCACACGGAGCTGGTCTGGTGGTCTGTAGCTTCTACAGACCGGGTCTGGAGCCAGGTAGTTCTCCATGTAGATCTGGTCCTGCGATTTGTAGTCATCATAAGTTACTTGGTCTGGCACCTTGTAGATCCTGACTTCCTTTGGATGTTTCGGAACGTACTTCACATCCAGAGAATTGTTTTTGTTGCTCACCGTTTGCAGTTTTTTATTGATATTATCACCTTCATGTGATACTCTATTTTTCGATTTCCGTGATTTCCTGCACGTGAAAAACGTGATTAATAACAAGACTCCTATCCAAAATATTACCCCGCCGGACGCTGCAATGATCAGTGGGAGTGTTTCTACATCAAATATGCCCGGAGCACTAGTGGTGGTCTGTGTCGTTCTTGTGACGTCATGCCGTAGAAATGTTGTCAGTGTCGTTGATGTCGTTAAGTCTGAAAGGTATAAAATAATGCATTACGTCCTGATAATGATGATTGGCTGATACTGTTTAGGTATGAACTCGGTTTAGTGCATTTTTCAACATATACTGACGTACAAAAGAAAGCACACACCTGGTGTTTTGGGACTATTCCCATTAAAACCATCAATATTTTGCTAGCAATGTTGTAATTGGGTACAAAGTCTGTGGTCTTTTGGAAACACATGCACAATGTTTGTGACAATGCAGAATCAAAACACTTTTTAAATATTAATGCTGTTTTCAGGAAAATATTTTACCAAAGAATCAGTTGTGTAGTTTCTTTTGAACGTCAGTATATTTATCTGAGATTGCGTTGCCTTTATACGTCATGATGCTATACAATAAATGATGCCACTCATTTTAACCCCTCTCTTATTCTGTTTGTAGTGTCGTTGATTTCGTTGAATCTCAAAGGTATAATGCACCATAATGTTGATTGACTGATAATGTTCAACCAGTAAAGGTATAATGCACCATAATGTTGAATGACTGATAATGTTCAACCAGTAAAGGTATAATGCACCATAATGTTGAATGACTGATAATGTTCAACCAGTAAAGGTATAATGCACCATAATGTTGAATGACTGATAATGTTCAACCAGTAAAGGTATAATGCACCATAATGTTGAATGACTGATAATGTTCCACCAGTAAAGGTATAAACTCTCACCTTTGGTCTGGAGTATTTCTCATCATAATTTTATCTAAGATCACGTTGCCGTGATACTTCTTGAAACCATGACGAAGAGTAAATGGTGCCTCTAATTTTAACCCTTCTCTTATTCTATTTGCACTAAACAAAACATATTTTTCATAATTCATAAGTATATATGTGTTCCTAAGTTTAGAAACATTGCTGTAAAGCAGAAGAAACCTAGTGATACTAGTAAGTCGAAAGTTGAACCTATGTCAGCAAGCTGCTAGTGTGCTGGCGATTAGGTGCCTGACTCTGAGGTGTGGGTTCGAATCTCCAGCGTCGGTACTTTACTAAGAAAGTGTAATCCCAAATATAACACATGTTACATTTGACAATTTTCTAAATGGCATTGTGTAATCAAAGCTGCTAGTGTATGTTATTAGACGGCCCAAGCTGAGAATTATCTCAGTTTTATTACGACGTTTGCCTCTTTGGTTAAATTCATTTTAATTGTGTGTCGAGCTTACAGTCCAGGGAACATACGCGGATCATAAACCCGGATTCAAAACCAGGAAAAGAGGATCCTGCAAGGATGTAACTGAACACAAAGAGCGAGGCGATGCATCCCACCATTGGAGTGGTTCCATCGATATATGGAAGTAAGACAGTGGTTCTCACCGTAAAAAGGCAAAGTAGACAAGGCAAGAGAAAATGACATGTCACTTATCTGTCACGATGACCGCTATCGTTCTTGTCTACAGCACCGGACATGTACAGAATGATAAGTCACCAGCTTACACTGTTTATTCTAATGTTTGTTACCTCCCTACTGAACACGTAAATGAGTGTGGATTAGTAATTAGGGTATTAGTACTACTCTCACGACGTGACACGTAGGAACACTCCGAACAATTCCGTACTTGTATTTTCCAAAGACGGTGGAGTTGAGGGCGCTTTATCTTGCTCAAGGATATCTGCGAACAAAATAAAATCGACCTGTTTAGTACATTCCATCCCACAGAGGAAGAGATGTTGACGTGGCTGTTTTGTTACCGTACCCACAGAGAATAAGGCACTACTATAATGAGTAGTGAAATCATTATCGTTATATTACTATTCCCTTTTCCTTCGACTAATTTTCTTCATAAATCTAATATTACATAATTACAAAGTGTGTGTGTGTGTGTCTAATTTCTGCGGTTCTGATTGGCTGACATGGAATACAAATTTAATTATTTTTCGATAACTGCGAGGAATCGGAGAGGGACGGGACTGATGTTCAAAATGCGGTTTCCCGGTGACCTTTACCTTGGTAAGAGTATGTAAATTATTCTATTTAACACAGGTGTCTCTGCCACAAACAACACGAGAGTACATTAGAATTACTTTATTTTACCGTATATAAGTTAACTGTATAGTTAATATATCCTTTCTCTTCAACCTGCCTCTACTATCATGTTATAGTGAGTATACGCCGTTTTTAGCAATATTCCAGCAACATCACAGCGGGGGGACACCAGAAATGGGTTCAGAACCCGTGTCTAGAATCGAACCCATGTCTTCGGCGTGACGAGCGAACACTTTGACCACTAGGCTACCGGCCAACCGCCCCTATCATGTTATAAACGTAAATGAAGCAAGCCTACATTTTCAACAAGTTTATGGGCTTCTATAAGTCCCGATTTAGTTGTTTGCAAGCATGGATGTTTTATTTACCTGCGTTGTCGATGAGGATGTCATCCACGGCAATGGCTGCTGACCCCTTCCCCACCTTCCCCTGGAAAATCACCTGAAGAGAAACAGCGTGAGCGTGAAGATTTCTTTATACAATACCCCTGCCACTGGAAGGTTAGCGAGAACATGCTCCACATACTGTTCCCGTTCGATGACCCGGGTCTGCAGGGAGACAAGCGAACAGGTAACCCTCACAGACTACCCCTACTGTGCTAAATGTTAGAACAATAAACCAATGGAACAGATGAATACTAGTACTTAAAGAGAGACAGCCACGAAGCTATAGAGTGAGTGAGTGAGTTTGGTTTTACGCCGCTTTTAGCAATATTCCAGCAACATCACGGCGGGGGACACCAGAAATGGGCTTCACACAATGTACCCATGTTGGGATTCGAACCCGGGTCTTCGGCGTGACGAGCCAACGCTTTAACCATTAGGCTACCCCACCGCCCCGAAGCTATAGAGACGTAAAGGAACATGAGTGAGTGAGTGAGTTAATATTTATCGTCACATCGGCAATATTTCAGCCATATCGTGACGAGAACAATTAATAAGTATATTATAGATCAATAAAATTAAAAATAAAAGCCTGTTGACGAAGAACAGTAAAACTACTAGGGTATCACAGGTATCCATTTAAAGCTAGTAACTAAATCTAAAACAGTTTAACTAGCAATAGCAAGACAATGTAAAAACGGGATATAGATGAAGGTAGATCACCATACTAGGGGCCATGGGGACTTATAAAGGAACATGGACATACACAGTGGAACAGACATAGACAAGCAATTGTAAAGAAACGTCTATAGATGTGAGCATGAATAGTGGACAGATGTAAATGCATATGGATAGACGGAAGGAGACAGATGAAGAGGAAACCACACCAAGGAACATATTTATAGGAACATACTTTGTCAAAGAGACGAAGCACTATAAGAGCACTCTGACACAATTAGACAGAGAGGGTGATAAATATATAGGAACATACTTTGTCAAAGAGACGAAGCACTCTGACACAATTAGACAATTAGACCGAGAGGGTGATAAATGTATAGGAACATACGCAGACGAATAGACAGAGAGGGTGATAAATATATAGGAACATAAAAGGACGAATAGGCAGAGAGGGAGGTAAATATATTGGAACATACAAAGACGAATAGACAAAGAGGGAGGTAAATATATAGGAACATACAAGACGAACAGACAGAGAGTGTGATGAATATATAGGAACATACAAAGACGAATAGACAGAGAGTGAGATAAATATATAAGAACACATAAAGACGAAGAGTGAGATAAATATATATAGGAACATACAAAGATGAATAGGCACAGAGTGTGGTATATATATAGGAACATACAAAGACGAATAGACAGAGAGGGTGATAAATATATAGGAACATACAGAGACGAATAGACAGAGAGGGTGATAAATATATAAGCATATACAAAGACGAAGAGTGTGATAAATATATAGGAACATGATTAGACAGAGAGGGGTACACAAGTACAGTAACATACATATACTATTTTTAAAAACCCATCCTGTTGTTCTCACCCTGAATGGACCTGTGACATTCGCGCGTTCAATAACTGATGTCCACACGTCCGCATCCTTGCCGTCACGTGACCAAATCTCGGACTCATACGAGACTAAAGACATATCCTTGATAAAGACACTGAGACTTTGGGTGTGGTCCCCAAACATACAGTAGAGGAACGTGATGTTCACATGACCGTCTGGTGACGTCATGACAGGGGATGCAAATACAGCTCTGTGATTGGGCGACCGGTCTGTTGTAGCCATGTAGAAGAAATAGTCTCCGACTGTAGGATAAAGGACAATTCAAAATTATGACATAATTTCATTGTTGGATAAGATATCTCTACATAGCAAAATGTGTGAAAGAGTTTAGTATAGCGTCTTTTGTGGCAGAAATGTCCAAAGGTTTCATATGGTGCTGACAGAATGATCATAATAGGTCGAATCTTGGATTCGAACCCTCGATAAGCAGCTCAAGGCAATACAAGAGATGTAACTGCACAATTACAGTAATAAGACATATGGGCTATTTGTGCCTCCCATGATATTCCAGCAACATCACAGCGGGGGACACCAGAAATGGGCTTCACACATTGTATCCGTGTATGAAATAGAACCCGGGTCTTCGGTGTGACGAGCGAACGCTTTAACCACTAGACTATGCCACCGCCCCAGTAAAGCATAGGTAGTAATGACGACAATAATGTTCACAATAATCATACTGATTTACATGCAGATAATGAACAATATTGCTATCAGTAGGCAATTCATAGATAGAGACATGTGGCACAGGATAGCCGCGCACATGTACATTAACGATGTGTTCTGGTGCAAGACAAATGTCCAATGACTGGGCGTGTTTATTGTGATGCTGTGGACACCTTCATCTCCAAGCCACATTTCATGGCCTGCTATTCTATTCAGGCGAAGTACATCGCGTTAAATATCTGAAACTGTTATGCATTGGTTTAATTAATACAAATTGGATTGTAGGGTACGCAAATATGCTAGTTGAAAATAAAACACGACATTTATTTTGACAAAGAGTAGATCAGTACGCATACATTGCTCTGAAAACCCAATCCTTGTAATCCCCACGTCATTCATGACCTAGCTTCTGATCTACAAGAGATCCGAGTTGACCACTACGTGCTGATTCTAACACCGCGAAGACTTCAGGTCATGTTCTATAAGTCTGAAGTTCAACAAAAGACTTAAATACCTCACTGGCGGCTAAACCGTTTTAAAGAATGTTAAGACCAGTGAAGGTCCGGGTTAGAATATTGATCTTCAGTAACCTATGCTTGTCGTAAGAGGCGACTAACGGGATCGGGTGGTCAGGCTCGCTGACTTGGTTGACACATGTCATCGGTTCCCAATTGCGCAGATCGATGCTCATGCTGTTGATCACTGGATTGTCTGGTCCAGACTCGATTATTTACAGACTGCCGCCATATAGCTGGAATATTGCTGAGTGCGGCATAAAACTAACTCACAAAAGAATGTTAATGAAACAACACCACAAACATTTTGTTTGTAAAATAAGTATCTTCATGCAATTAACGTGAATACCACTTTGGTATGATTTAGTTCGCTTAATGCAACAAGAGGCATAAAGTTAAACTCAGTGAAGTACTACAGCGCATAACAGACATCAAACAGGGATTAAGTAAAACAACATGAGGGTGTGCATCAAAGGGATTAACACGAACAGCAGCAATGGATATAGACAATAATGTGGCGACAATTCTGTGCTGTCGTAGTTCACTTTTGCTCGACAGCGGTATAAGAACCTATACTGAAACGTCGCATCATGAGATGATAAAGAAGTTGTCATCCTTAAAATATCTTACCTTTCTTATTATTCATCAACTTCTAAAATACCAATTAAACAGAACATCGCTATTGTCCTTTTCGGACACCATTACGACGAAGCAAGTGAAACGTATTTAACGTCATGAAGGTACCGAGAGTAATAACTCATACATGAAATACTCCATTCTTTTTCCTCCCAAATGCACTTTCCTTCACAAGGCATGTATGTTTCCAAAAACACATCAACTCTATTTGTTTTCAGCAGGTAAATGGCCGTGTCTCCCACAGTTCCCGAACTATCCGTAATCTCTGAAGCTATGCCGGGTCTGACTCATGGACAGTTTGACATTCTGTGTATGTGTGTTACCAAAAGCAAACATAAGACGTCATGGCCAGAAAATAACCATTAACCCCCCAAAACCACAAAGACCAAATATCGGTGAAAATTAAATGAATGGATCACTGAGAATCACTGACAAGCGTGTCCTGCAACGACGGTATACAAGACACTTGTAAGCATTGTTGAAAGGTAAAGGTGTTCACATGAAATTATCATAATACTGAGACAGCAGCAATACCAATATTGCAGCCATATCAAACTAGCGTGTTTACCTGCTGCAATACTATTTGTACAGAAAACATCACCCCTATTATAACAATAACAAGTAATCGATACTTGATCGTGACCGGTGCCATCGGTCTTACAAGATGCGAACACCTTCTATAGAGATCAACTCGTTTCATCACTATTAATGAACACATGCTATGATATATATGGAATATAGTAAGTCTCACAGTCCCTGAACCACATTAATATCCCTACTGCCTAGCCCTCCCTGCAATGCTAAAGCCCTAAATGAAGCAAGTCTAGATTTCCTCAGGTTCAGAATCTCACATCTCACTGGGGATCCTTTTCAGTTTAAATGTGATTATTAGTTGCTATCAAAATCATATATATTCAGGGACTAAACATTAGTCTAATTTTGTATACATGGGGTCGGACCCATCAGACTGTGTGTCAAGTTTTTTTCTTCCCTCCCCTCCCTTTCTGCAATGCTAAAGCCCTAAATGAAGCAGGCGTACATTGCATCAGGTTGTGAACTCCCATCTCACTGGGGCTCCTTTATTTATTTAAGCGTTAGTTTAAGTAGGAATTCTGCAAAGGCTTTTAGCATGTATATTTTTCATAATGTCTAGGGTTTTGCAGCTTATATTTACATACTCTGCGTAATGTTTGTCGAGTTGGTGTCGGAGTCGGACAGCTGACCTCGGCTAAATCCAACTGACCAGTCGAATTCATCAATGATGTCGTCGATTCCTTGGTTCCAGTCCTGGCACAGGTTACCGTCGTTGAAATCGCACTCGACGGTGGCGTCACAAACTACGGCAAGTCCTACAAACATATACCATGAATGTAAGACACAGAACATCACAGAAGATTACTGTACACTAGCTTGTTATTCGAACGTTACAATCATCAACATTTTTATTATTATTTTTCACCCAGGGCTAAAGTTGTGTTCAGCAACCCATGCTTGTCGTGACGGTGTCTTTTGGTCCAGCTAGTTGATGTGGTTGATGTTATTGTATCCCAATTGCGTGGGTCGATGCTCATGACGTCAATCACTGGACTGTCTGGTCCAGACTCGATTCTATACAGACCGCAGTCATATACCTGGATTATTGCTGAGTGCGGTGTTATGTAATAAACACAACTCAAATGTGCCAGTTATTTCCCTATAGATGCACGTGGAAATCTAAATATTGAAAATTAACTCAAGCAATTATAGTTCCTGGCCACTATATACTATAGGAAGGCTGGAGTACTATCGTTAACTTTGGATACCTAATCGTACTATGTTTAATGCTTAAACAGAAATAACAAACGGAGATACATTAATGGAAAGGGTAATTGTTATTAATTACATAGGCGGATCCAGAGAGGTGGGGTGGAGGTTTGCAGGGTGCCCCTTGTCCTGAAAGTTTATTAAATGACCCGGAAAAATGCGGCCTTTTCCCTTGCACCCCGCCTTTCTAAAAAGCTGTATCCGCTCCTGTGCTATCTGTAAAAATAGTTAATAAGCAAATAATGACAACATAAACATTTGATCAAAATAACCTACATGTGTATGGTCAGGGACGTTCTCAAAGTCACATTGTCTTGCAATTTTAAATATATTTTTCTCCAATCATTGAAAGTATAACTGAACGTACGCAACTGATCATTGCAGAAATGTGAAACCTGCAAGAGAGGGAAGGTAAGTGGTCAGCCATTTGAACACATTGTATGGTTTGTCTTACCTGTAATCACAATAATTCCTGTTAATGACATCAACATCCTGCACGAACTCTCGTGCTACCACAGCACACATCCACGTGATAAAGCAAGACAAAGGGTATCCTGTTACCTCTGCAGCCAAACAACAACTGACTTGCTTGGTATGTAGAACCACCGGGAACGATGTGTCCAATCACCACCACACTTCACACATTTGTTTCTATACAGCCAAACATCTTCCTACTTGGTATGTGGAATAACTAGGGACTACATCTACGCTCCCAAGGCCAAGACAATTCAAAACTTTGTTTCGTGTGTCAGGATCATCTCTCGTTGGACACAACTGCAGAAACATCAGCATGTTAATCACGCATCTGTTTATACATTCTGGATTCATGATCCTGTTATTTGAAAAATACTACATAAAACTGTACCCCGTTGTTGCAAAAAACAAGTGAAAAACAATGTTTTATATGAACATAGAAAGATTTGCTTTCGCATGTAGATATCGCCTATACACATAAATACACTTCTCAAGTCTTGATGTCCAATGTAGGGACTTTATGTGGGCGAGATATTTCATAGGAATAGTATTCATTACTGTCAAAAAATGACACAGAACTGCAGACACAGAACTGCTGAGTTTCGTATGAAACAATATGAAACAATCCTGTTCCCTGACAAAGTTACAAAACTCAATAAGTGTCAATAAATGAGAAATTATATCACTGTTGAATTGTGCATCGGACAACGAACAGAATGTGTTGACTGTTATAAACAGTTTGCATAATTTTAAGAGAATTGCTGCCTAGGAACAACTCACTCACTCACTGCATGGGAACACCACACAACAAACACAATAAGGAGAACCTACTATTTAACTTGTATTGGCCTAAACCAATACTTGCCATCACGTCCTCCTCGCGAGGCCAGCGATG